TAGGCACTGTTCTGGTTTTTGAGTGATATCTATTTTATTGAAAAGGAGATTGAGGCTTAGGCAGTCTGAGCCCATGTTCTTCTAGCTTAGCAGTGGAGGATCAGGGATTCTAGAGGTGCGCTGCTATAGGCCTGCACTGGTTCCCAGATCATCCCAGTCCCACAAAATCAGCCACAGTGGGAGCATTTACACCATGGAAATTGGCAAACACTACAAATCCAGGCCTTTTTTTTTTTTTTTTCCCAAAATTTCAGAGAAATTTACCAGCACACCATTTGTTCTGATTCTACTCTTTTCCAAAGTCAGTATATTTTGAAGTCCTCTGACCTCAGCTTCCTCATCCATAAAATAACATTAAAAATGTCTGCTTTGTAGGAAAAAATTATACTCGTGGAGCACATTCTGGTAAGTATGGGGGAACAGTGACTGGAAGGAAACCAAAATGCAAATAACTGATATGTTACCGTGATGGGATTTGAAAGATGAAGTCCCTAAATTTCACCATCTTTAATAATTTCCATCAGTGCTAAATGTACTTTGTACAAAAATGAAAACATTATATATATGAAAACCCACACTTTGGGGAAGTGTTATGAGAAATTAGAAGAAATGGAGGTAAACCAGTGCTCTGTAATTGGCAGACGCCAATCATAGAAATGTGTGAATTCATGGTTTTGTGACTGAAAACAGAAAAAGAAATATTGCAAATGAATTGCATGTCAAAGTAGGACCCAGGTAAACAGACAGAAAGGAGCGGTCTAAGGAATATTCTGATTCCAAGACTATACTGATGAACATGTCACAGAGGAATCACTAATTTTCAAAACTCTAGAATAAGGGCTCTACAGCCTTAAATTTGTCTAGTCCTAGGGCAGCGGTAGCCCCTCCGTCTGACAGATACCTCTGGCTGCAGCACCGAGAGAAGACAGCCTTACTTAGGAAGGTGTGGGCTCCAGCTACTGGATGGTGGCCTCAGCCTGCCTGCTACCATTCCATTCACTCCCTCATCCCTATTCTCTGAGGCCATGAGGGAAAAGTCTTTATCACCATCATTATCACAGTTATGATGATAACGGCTGCATTCGCTTCCTGTTGTGGCTGTTAGCAAATTACCACAAACCTAGTGGTTTATGACAAATTTATTATCTTACAGTCCTGGAGGTCAGAAGTCCAAAATAGCTGTCACTAGGATATAATCAAAGTGTGGGCAGGGCTCCATTCCTCCGGAGGCTCTAGGGAGAATCATGGCCTTGCCTTTTTCCCGCTTCTAGAAGTGCCTGCATTCCTTGACTGGCAGCCTCTTTCTCTGTCTTCAAAGCCAACAGCATTTCATCTCCACATCTCTCTCTGACTCTCACTCTCCTGCCCCTCTCTTTCATTACGGTACCTTTGTGATTAGATTGGGCTTAAAGATAATCCAGGATCTCCCCAAGCCAAGGTCAGCTGATTAGCAACCTTCATGCCCGTTTGCCATGTAACATTACATATTCACAGGTTCCTCAGATTAGGACAGCGACATCTGTGGGGGTGGAAGACATTATTTCTGTCTACCATAGTGGTTAACATTTCTCCAGCACTTACTATGTGTCTAGCAGAATTCCAAGCATGTTACTTATAATATGCATTTAGGTGTTGCCACAACCCTATGAGTTAGGTACTCACTTTACAAATGAGGAAAGTGAAGCATACAGAAGAAAAGTAACTTGTCCAAGGTCACACAACTAGGAAAAGGAAGGGCTGAGTTATAGATCTAGGCGTCTGATCTCAGAGCCCATGCTGTTAGCGACAATCACCCTTCAGTCATTTAAGGACGGATGTACAGACTGAATTCTACCTAATTTAATCCTCCTCTAATGATCCAGAAGCCCTTTCCGGATGTGACAGTGTCTCAGGTCCATCAACATCAACTTCCATAGGCCACCAGTTGGGCAACTTTGAATGAGTTGATCAGTGGATCTCAGGGGCTGGGATGCCCGGTGAGCCTTCCTCCTTCCCTGAGGGCTTCTCACAATGGCCACCTGTGTTTCTGAAACCCACCTTCACCAGGACCCATGAGGCACTGCTCTGTGGTGTTTGCTCTCAGCTTTCTTTTTTTCTTTACTCCAGACATACTAGCTTCATAGGCATTCCTCAAAAAGATGGAGATGATCTTTATCTCAGGCCTTTGAACTTGCTGTCTCCTCACCTGGAATCTCTTCCCAACCTACTCTCAAAGCTCAGCTCTCATTTCAAACAGGTTTCTGCACAGGGATCCTCTCTAAAGAGGAGCCGGGCAGAGCTATAGACCCACCCTGATGAGGGACCTCCCACTCTTCCCTCTCCAATCTTAGGTGGGCAGAGGCATTAAAGTTCTCTTCTCCATGCCTTTCCCCTCTCAAGGTGATGAACAAAAGGAGGCAGACTGAAGGAGTTGCATCTTATCTTCACCTTGAAGCTACCTTTGTATGTCCACAAAGAACCCAAAGCAAAAAGCAGGAGACAGAAGGCAGAAGTTAGTTCATTAGCCACTAGACCCTCAAAAGACAGAAAACACCCTGACTGTGGATCACCTACTGGGTGCTCAATCTTCACACCCCTGTGTAGGAGTTATTAATCTTACCTCCATTTTACAGACAAGAACACTGAGGATTCTAGACATTAAGAAACTGGACCCAAAGCACCCATGGAGGGGCTGCGCAGGACTCAAATGCAAGTCGGCTTGCATAATCCTTCTCTTAGGGAAAGGGGACAACTTGGGATGAAGCAGGTGGGTATTAAAGCAACTGGCTAACCGTGAAAAAGAATGACAGAACTTTTTACCAAACAAATAATTATTTTGTTTAGAAAGTCACATGGAGACAGTGGGAGACAGAAGGGAAGACTCGCCTTTCATCCCCAGGAGCTATTCGCCTGTGGATATCCAATTGTTCCGGCACCACTTGTTGAAAAGACTTCTCTTCCTCCATTGAGCTGCCTTGACACCTTTGTCAAGAATCTGTCAACCACACATCTGTGGGTCTATTTCTGGACCCTATTCTGTTCCACTGATCTATTTTTCAGTCTTGATGCCAACACCACACTGTTTTGATGAAAGTAGCTTTGTATTAAGTTTTTGAAACTGAGAACTGAGAGTCCTCCAACTTCATTTTCCTTTTTCAAAGTTGTTTTGGCTAGCCTGGGTTCTTTCCATTTCCATATGAATTTCAGAATCAGATCATCAATGTCTACAAAACAGCTTGCTGAGATTTTGATTGTGTTGAGTCTATAGATCAATTTGGAGAGAGCTGACATTTTAACATTTAGTGTTCAGATCCGACGAACATGGTAGAGCTTTCATTTATGTAGAGATTCTTCAATTTCTCTCAGCAGTGTTTTGAAATTTTCATTGAACTGGTTTTGCATACCTTGTATCAGTGTTACCCTAAGTAGTTTGTATTTTTTATGCTAATGTAAATTGTATTTTAAATTTCAATGTTCTGTTATTTTTTTTAAATTTTACTTTAAGTTCTGAGATACATGTACAGAACGTGCAGGTTTGTTATATAGGTATACATGTGCCATGGTGGTTTACCACACCTGTCAACCCATCATCTAAGTTTTAAGCCCCGCATGTATTAGGCATTTGTCCTAATGTTCTCCTTCACCTTGCCCCCAACCCCCTCACAGGCCCCAGTGTGTGACGTTCCCCTCCCTGTGTCCATGTGTTCTCATTGTTCAATTCCCACTTATGAGTGAGAAGATGTAGTGTTTGCTTTTTGTCCTGTTATTACCAGCATACAGAAATACAGTCAATTTTTGAATACTGAGCTTAGATCCTGCAACCACGCTAAACTCACTTATTAGTTCCAGGAGCTTTTTTGTGTAGATTTCATAGGATTTTCTACATAGATGATGCCATCTGCAAACAGTTTTCTGCAGGGCTGTGTTCAAGGAGTCTGCATTCTAATAAACTCCATCCTCAGGCTGCTGGGGGAAAATAAAGGGGTAATCCAATATGAGGAGGGTCAGGTCCTGCCGGTTATCCTTGGGGCAGCAGACCCACAGATCTAGGTGTTTCACTAAGGCTAATGTTAAAATGGGTCGCTATTCTGTAAGTCCTGGTGGACACCTTCAGCACAAACCACTGGATTGGCTATATTCACCACAGTTAAGGAATCCAGAAGAGGGCTGGGTGAAGGCAAAATATCCAGCCGTGGGTTAGAAAGATGCCCCCAAGTCCCTTCTACAAAGCACCATTTTCTCACTCTGACCTCCAAAAAGCCTCCTTCCTGGTCTCTAGGCTTCTCATCTTGCCCCCTCCAATCCCATCTCCATTCATCTGGGTTATATAAAAATATAAAGCAGACCATGCTAGGCCTTGCCATTAGAATACAATCCCCAAACTCCTCACCAGGACTGAGTAGCCCTCTTGCATGCTTTCCTCTCCCACCACCCCACCCCACCTGCCAAGCCCTTTCCAAGCTGTTCTCCCTAATGGAAACATTTTCCAATGCCCCCCACTCCCCTCTGCTCCCTGCAACCTAGTACCTGGCTAACTTCTCCTTGTCACTGCTTCCAAAGACCTTCCTGACCATCGCAACTGATGTTCACTCTCAGGACATCCCAGTATGATCCTGCCTTGCACTCACCATATTCGTCATTAATTTCCCACTAAGGCAGTGCTGTGAGAGCCAGGCCCAGTGACATTTGTGACCTTGACCTCTTACCAATGGCTGCTAAGCAGTAGGTGCTCAGTAAATGCTTTGCGTGATAGCCTGAGCTTGCCGCATGCCCAACCATTCACCCTCCATGTGAATGATCTTACAATATGTCTTGGGTTTTTCTTCCTTTAGGGGGTAGTTCAAACTTTGGCTGTGAGTTAAATCTCCCCAGGGAATTCTCCCCAGACAAGCCATCAGGTGAGCTACATAAGGCACCACTCTTGGAACTCCCCCAGCTCAGCCTCCCTGCAGGGTTTCATCTTGCTCCTGAGCTCACTCCATTCCAATGGAACAGGAAGGAAAAAGAAAACCAGACCAGAGTGGAAAGCATTTTCAAACTTTATTTACAACTGTCACAGTGACAAAAAGTAGTTTGGAAAAAAAAATGCTAGTTTCTCCCTGAGCCTCAAAAAAGAACAGATAGAAGTTACAGGAGGTTCATCTCACAACAGGCATTTTTACTGAAATACTAGGAATTTTTTCAATACAATCAGTTAGAAATACACACAAATTACTAAAAAAAAAAAAAAAAAAAAAAAAAAAAAAGAGGAGGCCAGATAGGAGCTCAGCCACTTGTCCAAGAGCAGGTGGGTCCCCCCAGCAGGCTCCACCACTGAGGGTCCTGACGTTAGCGGTCAGCCCCTGGCCTGCTCAGACTGCAAACAGTCATACAAAGTGATCTAGGGACCGGCAAAAGTAATAAACCACCCCCCAAAACAGACACATACACAAAGTAGATTTGTTACGCAGTTTACAAGCACGTTCCCATCACACAGCAAGACCGCGACAGGTGATTCAGGGTAGCAGATGAGGGAAGACACCAAAACACAGGACTTGAAAAGGCAAGACCCCCGTCCACAAAGGAGGTGAGGGAATGAGAGTATGGGTGAACCACTCTCTGCAGCCAAAACAGAACGAAGCGGAGAGCAAGAGAGAGAGAAAGCCCCTCTTGGTGCAGGCTGCAGGCCTCTCCCACTTCTGTGAGGAGTTGGAAGAAGTTATTGCCATCAATGTGTGTCACACAGGCAGACGACAGAGGGAGGAAGCAGGGGGTGCGGGCGACCATCGGCTTCCCAGATCTGAATTCCGCAGACTGCTGCGTCCACAGCACGCCCTCATCCTCCTGCCCTGGCATCCCCAGAGCCACAATGACCTTGAGGTATTAAATACAGCTATATACACAAGTCCAGAACCGAGGGTCAGCCTAGACTGACTGGAGACCTGAGGGGACATGCTGCGTGCCTTGGTTGGCCAAGTTCAGCTCAAGGAAGGCTCTCGGTCCACCCCTGGGCCACACAGTACTGCTCTCGGGTGGACTGAAGCATTTGTCCTGCGACCTACTACTCCAGACGGCTCTTAGCTACGATAAGAAACGCTAAGTCCAAAGGCCAACTTTCTCATACGAGTGGTGCCCTTGCAGGAAGTGGGTGGGCGGTGGGGAGGGATGAGGACCACCACTGAGTAAGAGCAGCAGAGGTCCCTTGCTATGCCTCCCTTCCGCTCTTGCCCAGGAACAACATGGGGAGAAGCCAGGGATCTCGTGACATCCTTTAGTCTCAAACTTCATCCCAAGGCTGCCACGAGAGCCTTGCCCCCACCATGCAATAATTCCCAAGAATTATTGGGAATTATTTTTGGCATGGGTGTGCCAGCTCTTGGGACCTTCATGAAAGCTCACCTCCCCAACAAGACACAGAAAAAGCCACATCTGCTCTCCACTTGGCACCCACAAGAAAAACAGACCAAGAGCCCCCATGGGCATGAGTACGGCAGCTGGGCAGCCTGGCGGAAATCCACAGCTGAGCTGGGGACCTATGTGTCCATGGCTGCTGTGGCTGGGGCAGGGAAGGTGGCGGTGAGGAGGAGGAAGGGCCAGCCAGGGAGGGCACACCACTTCATCTTGGGAGGGCAGCAGTTGAGGGAGAGACCTTCATGCCAAGTGTCCACCCCGGGGTATCCAACAAGGGCAAGAAATGCTCTCACTACTCCTAAAAGTGCTGGGAAGCAACATGGCTAGATCAGGGAGAAAAGCTGAAAAGCACTGCCTCTTAGAAACCGATCACCTTGGCTTTGTGAGCCTACCACAGCTGGGAGAAGAGAGGCCATGGAGAAGGGTGGGGTGACCTTTCTTTCCTGCACATCACCTCTAGCTGGCTTTGCAACAGCCAATTGCTCCTGCTCTCCTTTCCTCTCCTCCCTGTCATAGACCAACACTCCTGAAATGAAAGCAAAGGGTGGGCTGGGTGAAACCGGATAGAGAGATGAAGACTTTGTTTTCTGACGCCCCGGCAGCCGGAGTGAATGTTTGCTGAGCGCATCCTGGCTGCAGTTCTCTGCTCAATGTTTTCCTAAAAACATGTGTTTTCTTCTTTTACCACATGTTTGTTTTCTTACCCCAAATGTTCCTTGCTTGCTTTGCACATGCCCCACCTCCCACCCCCCAAGACCCACTGGAATCCCACCACTGCCTCTAACTGGGCTGCCAGAGTTCAGATAATGATCTCAAAAACAGCACTCACTCCCCCTCAAGCCCAACCCCCTGGTTCTAAGCTGCTTCCTTTCTAGAAGGCCTTGCAAATTGTCAGAGGGCTCCACTGCTCGGCAAATTTCAAAATAAAAGATAAGACAAGAAAAGAAAACCAACTCGGTGATTTGCAGGTGCAAAACGGAAGCCTCGTTTGACATTTTCAGAATGACTGTGGTTCACTCTCTTCTTCCATCATGATGGGAAAAACAGTTCAGGAACAGATGCTCGCTGGTATGACCCATGGGAGCCCACGGGGACTCTACTGCTCTTTATTTTCTTTCGCTGTCTCTTCGCAGTTGTCTTGCTCATCCTCCTGGACCAAGAACTCCTCCGGGGGCCACCGGAGCTCCCCGCTCTCCACCTCCCCTTCCGTGGGCTCCACCACTATGGAAGGCAGGCGGTCCTTCAGTTTGCAGCAGCGGTCAAAGTCTGATGGGTCTGGAAAGATCTGAAAGAAAAGCAGAGCAGGTGCCTGGTCATGTACATATTTGAAAAGAGAAATTCCATTCCTTCTTTGCACATCCGTGTGGCATACTGGGTGTGTGCCATAGGCCAGGGACTATGCTTTGCACTTGGGAGGCTGTGGAGCCGAAGATGGGAACCACAGGAGAAAATTCTGGGGAAACATAGGAAACAGTCCCTCAGTCAGGCTTTGATTCTAATCCTGGAGCTGAAAGTTTTGGGACAGTGCCGCTGAGTCTAAAGGCCGATGACTGTATTTCATTTTCAGATAAAATAATCCCAAATCATATTATCCACAGCAAGTCTGATCTTTCTCTGCAGCAAGTAATTTACACCAGCAGTGCAAAGGATACCACAGGTGCCACAACATTAAGTGCCTCCCGGAATAATTATCGGCATTAAGTGAGCAGGCTGCCATGTGCTATACATATATAACTTCCAGCCTACACAGTCATGCTGAAAAATAGCTGTTGCTAATGCTAGCCCAAAGAATCTCAGGCTTGGGAGAGTAGGTGGTCCAAGGCCAGACAGCCTAGAGCTGAGTGAGGGATGGGATGAGATTAAAAACTGGGTCTGTTCAATTCCCCTGCCCCAACACCAGCCTGTCCCTCAAGTAGACGGTCCTGATCCCATTGCAACTGTAAAGTCAAAGCCAAATCCTGATGAAAAGCATGGACCCCAGTCACAGGCAGGCTGGGAACAAAATCCAAGGATCCCTTCTTTTTCACCTGCGACCTGGCTTCTTGCCAGCTCTACACCTGAAGGCATCTACTTCTCCTTCCAGAGTCCCAGCAATCAGGCTTTGTTTTTTTAATGCCTGCTCTGTGTCCTGCCCTGAGCTGGCAGAAACCCCAAACTCAGCTATAAAATCAAGGACCAAATCTGGCTCTGTGGATTCCCTTTGCACACACTGCCCTGTGACTACAGCTGACCCAATTCTTTGCCCAGCAGCTTAAGTACTTAATCCGCTGGGCTGCTGGTCCCTGCCATTCACAGCCCTCAGTGACACACCCCAGAGCCGGAGAGAGGAGGCTCTGTCTGGGATGCTGGGCTCACAGAATCAGGCACTTGGCACCTTCACCGCCATCTCTTCCCACCTCTCCATTTGGTAGATGAGTAAACCAAGAGCCCAGAGGGGTCAGGAGAGCCACTCGAGGTCACACAGCTTGTTCATGGCACGAGAAAGGAAAGCAAAACCTTGAGTGGGGACATATTTGAAGAGATCTGGGGGGCTGCCTGTTCCTCGATCCAGATGGAAACAGACCCATGGCAGCAGACAGAAATCTTCCGTGACCAGGACATGGAAGGCTCTTTTGCAAACTCAGGCCTCCCCAACTTCTGTGGTGCTCTGAGGGTGCCGGGTCTTACTGCCACCCAAGCCCATGCAGTGCCCCAGCCAAGTCACACTCTCACCACATCACAGGCCACGTGGGGCTTCCAGGAATCACAGGCCTCAATGAAGCCTCCCCAATCCCTGCAGACGAGTGATTATTAACCATTTATCCAATAAAGGCCTATTGCTGGGGATTAAGCCTTAAGCCAGCTGCACAACCAGGCATCATTAAAGACTTAACGAGGCTCATAAAAGGTATCATAATGGCAGCCAGGAGGAAAACAAGCTTAGGGAGGGGCTGGGCCAGTGTGGGTCATGGAGGCGCAGGGACATGGACATTGACTCGGGGCTGCGTCCTCCTGACCAGGCCAGCCCGGAAGTCCTGCCCTCGGACTGTGCTGTGACCGGACACGCGTGTGCCGAGCGAGGCATGGCCAAGTGGGCTTTTTAGACACTTCCTCATTTCTTGGGTGGAGCCAGAGCTCCCCATGGGCTGTGGGGACACAAGGCGCCCTCCAAGCATGAGCTTTCAGACCCCTCCATCGGGGTCCCTCTCACCCACTCCCACACTACAGGTCACAAAGCTCTTTCAGATGTCGCCTTGTTCAGGGCTCACTGCCACCCCAGGAACAGTAAGACCTGGGACTCTGCGGGTCACATGGCAGAGCCAGGATTCAAACCTACATCTGCTGTTTTCAGTGCCCGTGCCTTCTGGAAAATGGATTAGGCTGCTGCTGGGTCTCCACCCTGTTTCACAGATGGAAAGCTGAGCAGGGAAGGAGAGCCAAACTCTTGGCCTTGACTGCCCAGGAGCTGTGGGGGCACCAATCCAGGAGGTGAGCTTCCCAGTTCTGATGCTTGTTCTAAACCTTCAGGATCCAAGACAGAGCTGCGAGCTGTCAAGAGGAGAGGGGCACGTGCCCCGGGAAGAGCCTGGCCCCGCCTACACCCTCTGACCTCACTGCCAGGATTATGCTGACCACACTCATTGCCTGGGCTGGGAGAGGGAAAATCCAATCTAACCATGATGACCTAAGCCAAGGAAAAGCAAAAGGGATGACAAGCAGGGCAGGACCAGCAAAAGGAGGAGGGGGAGGAAGAGAAGGAGGAAGAGAGGAGGAAGAGAAAGAGGAAGAAAAGGAGGAGAGGGGTGAGAAGCATTAGATTTCATTTCAAGCTGGGAACAGGTCTTTCATTAAAATAAGGAGAAAAAACTCAATAACGATGATGATGATGGATGAAATTTTTTGCTGAGCGGAATCTCAAACCTCGAGCTAATTCAAGTTCCCCCATCCAGGTTTTCTTTACTTGGTTTCAGTTACCCACAGTCAACCGCAGTCCCAAGGTAGGTAGGTACAGGACAGTAAGATATTGTGAGAAGGAGGCAGAGAGAGACCACATTCACATGGCTTTAATAGTGGTATGCTGTTAAAATGGTTCTATTTTATCCTTAGCTATCCTTGTTAATCTCACATTGAGTCTAATGTATAAATTAACCTTTATCACAGGTATGGATATAAAAGATAAAACATAGCATATGTGGGTTTGGAATTATCTGTGGTTTCAGGCATCCACTGTGGGTCTTGGAACGTATCCCCCAGAGATAACGGGGACTACTGTCACCCTGTTTTATGGATGAGAAACCTGAAGCACAGAGAGGGTAAATGCCTTGCTCGAAGCCACACACCTGGGAAGCAGCTGAACTGGGATCCAAACCCAGATCTACAGGACTTCAAATGCCATGGGTTAAGCCACACAACCACCACTGCAAAGCTCTGGTCAAGTCCTTTCAACCCAAATGCCTCAGTGTCTCCTTTTGAGAAGTGAGTGACCTTCCTGTCTCACTAGATGGATACAAGTTCTTGGCAAACATAAAGATGATAAAATACTTCGAGGAAATAAGTGAAATTCAATCTATAATGTCCTCTTTGAAGCGGTTTCAACAGAATTACAGTAAGCATCCAATCTCCAAGCAAGAGCCAGTCATACAAACACAGTAATTAAAATAATTCCAAACAGCGCCATTCATACCGAGAGCTACACAATTAAGTCTTTTAAGTCCTTAGAAGAAGTCTGAGAATTGAACTTCTGATAGTGCTTAGCTGCCAGAGAACTTTGCTCCCTGAATGGCCCCAAGCAAGCACTGCTTAAAAAAAAATTTTTTTTTTTACAAAGCCTGTTAATAATTGTATTTTTAAAAATTACTGTAATAATCAAACCCTTCCATCAGAGATCTTATTTTATTATCAGCTTATACCCATTTGGGCCTCAAAATTGTCGCTCTCTCCAAACACAAAAAGTACCCAGAACCAACAGCTTCTGGTTTCCTCACAGACAGACAGAAAGCCTTGCAGTGCTGCTGAGTAATTTGCCAGCACAATCTTATCTCTGACAGCTGCTTCGGAGGCTGACCCCAAGGAGGTCAACATTTTTCCACTAAGTCATGCTTTTTAATCATCTAGGCAGCAGAAAAATGAGAGGTTGCAACTGCAATTTGATGGGGTGGGGAAGGCAGTGGAAAAAAGGACTTGAGTCAGACTTGCCAAGCACGTGACAGGTAGGGTTGAGGCGGCAGGCCAGCCCGGCATGCTGTCTGCCTGCAGGAACTGGCAGGGAGCAAAGAACTGCCCCTCTTCCCAAAAGAAACTGCTTCTAGTTAAACCTCTTACCCCAAAGTGCTTCTCTATACTACAGAAAGGGAAATACAAACAAAAATCATTTTCCCTTCTCTCTGTGGCTCTCAGAGGCATTTCTCACCCTCAGCTCAGGGTAGGGCAGGTTTAGAAGCATCCACCCCCAGCTGTGATTCTCCCTGCCCTACACCTTCCTCCCTCTTCCAGCCCTGGACTCCACATCCAGCTGCCACGCTGGACTGCCAAGGCTGATGGCTGGAATGAATCGAATGGATACCAAGTGTATTAGTCCATTCTCACACTGCTACGAAGAAATCCCCAAGACTGGGTATTTTTATAAGGGAAAAGGTTTCATTCACTCACAGTTCCACATGGCTAGGAAGGCCTCAGGAAACAATCATGGCAGAAGGGGAAGCAAACACATCCTTCTTCACAAGGTGGCAGGAGAGAGAAGTGGTGAAGTTATAAAAACCATCAGATCTCATGAGATCTTACTATCATGAGAACAGCATGGGATAACTGCCCCCCATGATTCAATTACCTCCTTGCTAGGTCTCTCCCACAACATGAGGGGATTATGGGAACTACAATTCAAGATGAGATTTGGGTGGGGACACAGCCAAACCATTTCACCAAGTTCCATCCTTTGCAAATGGAATGAAGCCTTGACGTTCACACACACCATGAACCTCCAAGGTCTTGCATGCCCCACAGTATAGAAGAATAAGCACCATTCCTTGTCTCCACAAGCTCACCCTCAGGCCCAGGATTCTCTGCTCCAACAGCTGCTGTTGTTGGTGGGTCAAACAAATGCCCTGGACTTCCCTGGAACCTCCTGCTGCCTTTGTCGTCCTCATACTAAATCAAAGGCAGACACTCGCCAGACAGGGCCATTTAAAGTTACATTAAATTGATGTTTATATTATATCACATATAAATTTATATTAATAAAAATAAAATAAAATTTTAGTCATTTTTCTTATTTTTTATTATCAATAGTATTTTTTTTTTTTTGAGATA